TAATGAAACAAAACCCACCCTGTGCAGATTATCCCAATGTTAGTAGTCATTTTTTTCTAGGGCCACCAGATAACATCTGATAAACGTGCCAACATTCTTTGCAAAGCCCTTCCAAACACCTGGTCTTACTCCTCTCTTGCATTGTTCTCTTTTCCCCCAGACTGGGGATAGCAGGTTATGTCAATGTGTGTAGAGATACAGGTGATTGTGGTTGCATTGCAGAAACAGAAATGCTTCCATAATATCAATCCCAGCTGTGCTCCTGCTGGGTAGCAGGGCGCTGGCTTGGTATTCCTGCCCCGTCTTTGATTACCTGCACCATTCTGCTTTCCTTGGCACCTGCCCATAGTCAACTTTTACACCTGGGGCCTCAGCAGGCCAATATTACTTTGGAAAAGTCCTCTCCAGTCATACATCTTGACACCTCTGGGCATTTGTCTTCCATCTTGAGAGTGACCCCACCACCACCACCACCAAAGAAGGTAAAAAAACTAACTGCTGTTTTTCATTCACATGAGAGAGGATAAAAAAAAGATATCTCACTAAAAAAGGACTTTTTTCTTTTACAACCTCCTTGAGTCTCATCTCTGTTTCTGTCACTAACAGTGTTTCTTCAGAGTTCCTTTGATTTTAAGTCATTGAGTAAAATTAGGTGTATTTTCCTCTCTTTTCTGTCTAATGGATAATTAAGTCCTTAATTATCTTTATATATGTTTTAAATAATTATATTTCTTCAAGAATTATTTTATTTAACTTTATTTATTTATTTAAACTTGACCAGAGAGAATGAAAGAGAGGGAAAGTGAGAAAGCAAGCCGCCAGGTCTGGGACCTGAACTACAGTCAGCCCTGTGGGAGTCCAGCACCCTTAACCACCATGCTACTTGCTGGCCCTGGTAATTCTGTTTTAATTTACTCTTTTATTATTGACCTTTTTTCTCTTTCTCACTAGAAACTTGCCTAATAGCTGTCATTTTATTATTTACCTTTTTTCTCTCCTTCTCACTAAAAACTTGCCTAATAGCTCTCATGTTTCCTTACTCTTATTCAGTTCTACCATATTCACCAACATTACATCATTCTCCCTTCACTCTAACCCAAATCACATGCTATGGACATAATTAATTTTTCTTATAAGTTGCTTTCATATACCTATTCATTTTTTTCAATGGCTTCCCTTTTCATAGAATAATAAAAAGAAAAAGAACTTTTTTTGCTCACAAAATAGGAGCTTGTGCTGATATTTTTACTCCCTGGGGGAAGAACATGGAATTTCTGCCTTTCACAGAATTAGTAGTGATTATCTGATGGATAAGTTTGGAGAAAGTTCACTGCTTAATTAAGGCCCACCTTTTTTTTTTTTTTTTAATTTTACTGAGTGCTTCTTGTACTAAGGCTTTGTGCTGAGTACTAGCTGACTGATTTCCCACTTGTCTTTTACTGCTTTTCAGATTTCCACATCAATAATCTTGTTTTCCCATGGGTTCACGTACCCTTTTCCCAACTGTCCTTGCTTCTCCTTCTTTACCACAACCCTGGCAGCCTTCCCAGTTTCACTTGCATTTCATCTTGACTGAGATTTCTCCAAACAGACCTGTCCTTGCTAGTCTTCATTTCTCTTGAGTATTTATTGAAAATTCAAAATCTTTCCTTGCAAACGTTCTGAGGTCAGAGACCATCCACAGGTATATAGTGGATTTGCCATCTTCCAGCACTAGATAATTATTCGTTGATTGATGGACATGTTACCTAACTGTCGTGACATTCCAAAAAGACACATGGGGGAAAAACACTTTCTACACTGTAGAGGTATTACAAACATTATTCTTTGTTTTGCATTTTTTTCTCCTTTCTTTCTTTTCTTTTCTTTTTTTTTTTTTTTGCCATAGGCTGCTCTCACTAGAGAGACAGTGAGATGGAAAGTGAGAAATCACACCCCAGGGAGGGTGGCCACACTACAATTCCTTCTTCTCCATTCTCCTGGGATTTTGAGCACACACGCGTGCACAGCCCAGCATGAGATTCAAGCTGCCAGGTCTGGGACTCAAACCATGGTTGGCCACATGGGAGTCCAGCACTTTCAGCACCACACCACCTGCTGCTCCTGCATTTTTTTTCTTTATTCATAGTAGAGCATGTGCACATGAGAGTGAGAGAGAGAAATGAATACCTTCCATGGGTTTTGGTCACGTTGCCGTCCCTTTTCTCTAGTTCCCCTGCCCATCATATCTAGGGAACAAATGCACATGCCCAGCATATTTCAGGCTGACCAGTCTGGGAATCAAACCCTGGTCATCACGTGGGATCCAGCCTCTCTTGAACAGTGCATTACTGCTACTACATGGGGGGAGGCCCTGTGATTTCTTTTTAATTGCTTGGTTGAAGTAAAGGGCATAACTTAGTTTTATTCCCTTAACTTGAGTAGTATTTAGCACTGCTAGCTTTTGACTTTGGCCAGCCATGAGTAACTAGCTTGTTCTGAGAATATTCATAGGACCTGGCTTCCTGAGGCAACTCCTAGTCTCCAAAACATGGTCAGGACACGAGGTGGAGGGAACCAGCAGTTAGCGTAATGGCTATGTCGCTGGACTCCCACGTAGTCGACCGCGGTTCGTGTCCCGGACCCTGTGGCTTAAAACTCACGCTGGGCGCGTGTGCGTGCGTGCCCAAGATCCCGAGAGGAGAATGGAGGAGAGGGGATTGCGGCGTGACCATCCCCCCTGGGGGGTGATTTCTCGCTTTCTGTCTCTATGTCTCTCTCTGTCTGGCGAGCGCACGCGCCCTACAGTGAAAATCTCTCCAAAA